GTCCTCTTCAACCCAGGCCATTCTATGATTCTATGATTATGAAATGTAATCCTTATAACATTTCTTTCAGCTTTCTGTATATCAGAAAAAATGTCTTTGAAAGCTATTATGTCCATGACTGATGTTACAGCAGCAATAACATTAGTGCTAGCACTTTGTAACTTTTCAGAGCATCAATTTACACTTTTTCCTTTAAAATACAGAAGATTTATTTCTGGCATAGTCTTGAGGGGTAGGAATGTAGTTAAGCACCAGATTAAAAATCTTTGCCATATGCCGAGTCTGACTGTGCTGCTATTGAAAGTCCCTGGAATGTTACTGGATCTGCTTTGTCCACTCTCAGATGAAAGCCTGAGGTAGGAAGTGTGATGGACTGTGCTGATGCTCTCAAATTATGATACATGAACTATTTGCAAGTGCTAGATACTAGCAGTGGTTCCTGATTCTGTCTTTGTACTGGAACTTGACTAAACCATGAATTTAGTATTTCCATGCAGTGTGTAGAGCAGTACCAGCAGCTACCAACATCCGTGATCTGAAATTGCTACTCTGCACAACAGTTTCGGTCTTGGTGGAACTGTTTGACCACCAGTGAATGCTTTCATCTGTGCTTCAAAGTCCTTATTTCCATGCAGTGGCTAACACCAGTCTGCTGCTGGGGGTGAATGTAGTCTCAGTTTCTCAACAGATGGGAGTTTTATCTAACGTGAAACCTGATGCCTGTTTCAAAATGCTGGAACAGGAGCAGGAAGGTGCTGTAGTGGTTGAGTCACTGGGAAGCATCAGTGGCTGGCAGCAGGAGCAGCTTGTGGGCTCGGGATCTGCAGCAGGGAACTGAGAGCAGGACTTGAGGACAAGAAGTTATGTACCCAGGGCTCAAACTGAAGTTCTCTGAGAACATGGGGGCCTCAGTCTAGGGGATGGTAGTAGTCTAGGGGAGTGAAGGTAGGCTTTCTCCTGTGCATGTGGTGCTTCGTACACAGCTGGAAGCTTCTGCATCCTTTGCTTGCACTGAACACAAGTATAAGGAATCCATCAATGGCCTATCAAATATTTTTCCACATTTGTACAGTGAGTAAAACAGAAGCAAAAAGCAAACAAACATGAAATGAACAACTGCTTCCTGTGTTCACTACTGCAGCACTTTTTTTCACAACACTTACAAAGTGCCAGTGCGGAATGAAAGTACATTCAAAAGATAGAGTATTTTGGCATGTCTTAAATATATAGCATAATTATGGTAAATATATATGGCAAATTTACTGGTGGATGGTAAGCTGTACATGAGCCAGCAATGTGCCTTCAAAGCCCAGAAAGGTAACTGTATCCTGAGCTGCATCAAAAGAATCTCAGCATGCTGAGAGAGGTGATCCTGCCCCCCAAATACGTGCTACTAAGGCCTCACCTGGAGTACTGCATCCAGATTTGGAGTCCTCAGTACAGAAGAGACATGGACCTGTTGGAGTGTGTCCAGAGGAGGGCCAAGAAAATAGTCCCAGGGATGGAACACCTCTCCTACAAGGACAGGCTAAGAGAGCTGAGGCTATTCAGCCCGGAGAAGAGAAGGCTCTGGGGAGACCTGAGAATAGCCTTTCAGTAACTGAAGGGGGGGGAGGTGCTCTAAGAAAGTAGGGGACAGATTCTTTAGCAAGTTCTGTCCTGACAGACAAAGAGGAAATGGTTTCAAACTAACAGACAAGAGATTTAGACTGGGTATAAAGAAAAACATTTTTACAATAAGGGTGGTGAAGCACCTGATGCAGCTGTAGGTGGTTCATTGCAGGGGAGTTGACTAGATGACCTTTAAAGGTCTTGACATGCGGAATCAAACTCTGTAACCCAAGTAAGATTACAAAGCAGGTACAGTTTATTCAGTGCTGCACAGACACCTAGGTGCAAGGGCGATAGATCCACCTAACTTGCACGCTGTCAGGAAAAATCATGCTACAGATATAGGCCAAACTAATACATCATCAATAGTTTTCCCGGAATTCGGATACATATTCATTAAACCCCAAGAGTTAGTTAGCATGCTGACCCTCCCCTCTTGCACATGTGTAGTGGGTTGTGGGATGAAGATTTGTTGTTTTCCTCGCAAAGGCTTCTGACCATTTTCGCTGTAAACTCCTGGCCTTTCAGGGGGGGGGCATCCCCCCAAACCAGTTTCTTCTTGCCCTGTGGACATCTCATCACCTCCCTGCCAAATGTCCTTGGGCTGTTCTCAAACCCTTATCTTTATGGCCTTCATCCCCCTCACTATCCCAGACACAGTGTCTGCCATCCCTTGCTTCTGTAAACTATCTCTAACTATTCCCCTTCACCCCCCTTATTCTCAGTCACTGTGAAGCCTTCTTGCCTTTTTACTTTCACTTATGGGGCCTGTCTCACCTTTTAGTCTCTTCCAACTCAAACAATTTTATGATTCTATTATATATACTAGTGATTTTTTTTTTTTTTTTTAGGACACATCAGTGATTTCCATATTTCCCTTCCTTTTCCCATGAACATATCTGCTGATAAAACAACTCCTGAATATTGACAGCACCAAGAATGTCATCCAGTTAAAGACTAAGACCTATGAATTCAAGTCTCTGCATGCAGATAGCTGCTTGTTAAACAGAAGCAGGATTCATCTTCTTGGTGTGGGGAACTGAAGCCCACTGAGGTACCCATGTATCTGTTAGCTGAGCTGCAGTAGGTTCAGTCCAGGACTTGCAAAGCCTCAGGTCCTCCTGAAGTAGCAGTAGAAAGCAAACATGACCTTGAGTTCACAGCCCCCAAGACAGCACTGAATTCAGTTGTCCACCTCCTGTGCATTCCGCTGTTCAGAACACTGCAGATCACCCAGCACAGCCTCCAGCTGACAATATGCAGTCCCTCTGGAGACTGTCCAGCCCCATGTATGTGGCCTGGATATTTCACAGCATCCTGAATAACACTAGACACTTGCGTTTATGCAGCCAAATTCTGTACTGTTGGGTTGTGAAGTTTTTTCATAAACATGACTTTGAGTTGATTCTCAGGAAAACCACAAGCTGTCAGATAGGTCAGAAAACAGCAAGTGAGAGGCTGTCTTCCTTTGCAGGTGCTCCCCATGCTTGGAGACATTCAAGGACAATCACGAACCCCTTAGTCAGAGCATTGTGTTGAATGGCACAGAGTCTAGTTGTAGGCCTGTAACTAGTGGTGTTCCCCAGGAGTCAGTCCTGGGCCCAAGCTTGTTCAAACAATTGTCAGCAATCTGGATGAATGCATGAGAAAGTGTGATGATGATACAAAGCTGGGAAGAGTGAATGACACACTGGAAGGCTGTGCTGCCACTCAACAAGACCCAGACAGGCTGCAGAGTTGGGCAGAGAGGAACCTTATGAGGTTCAACATGAGCAAGTGAATAGTCTTGCACCTATGGAGGAATAACTGTGTGCACCAGTACAGGAAAGGGGATGATCTGCTGGAAAGGAGCTCTGCAAAGAAAGACCTGGGTGTCCTGGTGGAGAAAGGGCTAGCCACAAGCTGGCAGTGTGCCCTTGTGGCCAAGAAGGCCAGTGGCATCCTGGAGTGCATTAAAAAGAGTGCAGCTCTTGCACTAGGTAGAGGAAGGTGATCCTTTCCCTTTACTCTGCCTTGGTGAGGCCATATCTGGAGTGCTGTGTTCAGTTGTGGGCTCCACAGTTCAAGAAAGACAGGGAGCTATTAGAGAGAGTCTAGCAGAGGGTGACAAAGATTATTAGGGCCTGGAGCAAAAAAAATCTCCCATATGAGAAAAGGCTGAGAGACCTGTGGCATTTCACTCTGGAGAAGGTTCTGAAGGTATCTCATCACTATTTACAGAATCACAGAATCACAGAATGGTCAGGGTTGGAAGGGACCTCAAGAATCATGAAGTTTCAATCCCCCTACCACATGCAGGGCCACCAACCTCCCCATTTAATACTAGACCAGGCTGCCCAGGACCCCATCCAATCTGGTCTTCCACATCTCCAGGGATGGGGCATCCAAAACCTCTATGGGCAGCCTGTTCCAACCCCTCACCACTCTGTAAAGAATTTCCCCCTTGACATCCAACACAAATCTTCGCTCCCTCAACTTAAAACCATTTCCCCTTGTCCTGCAGTTATCTATCCTTTGAAAGAGTTGATTCCCCTCCTGTCTGTAGGCTCCCTTTAGGTACTGAAAGGCTGCAGTGAGGTCACCCCGCAGCCTTCTTTTCTCCAGGCTTAACAAGCCCAGCTCCCTCCACCTGTCTTCATTCCAGCTGCCTGATCTCCTCTGGACCCTCTCCAACAGCTCCCTGTTTTTCTTGTACTGGGGGCTCCTGACCTGGATACATTACTCCAGATGAGGCTTCACAAGAGCAGAGTAGAGGGGGACAATCACCTCCCTGTCCCTGCAGGCCACCCCTCTTCTGATGGAGACTGTTTACAATTATCTGAAGTGCAGGAATCAAGTCAATGGAGGCAGAGTCTTTTTGGTGGCGTGCAGCAATACAACATGGGGACAAGGGGCAGAAACTGGAACAGAGGTGGTTTCATACAAACATAAGAACTTTACTGTGAGGGTGATGGAGCACTGGAACAGGCTGCCCAGAGAGGCTGTGGAGTCTCTTCTGGAGATATTCAAGACCTGTCCAGACGCCTTCCTAGCTGGGTGTTGGACTTGATCTCTAGAGGTCCCTTCTAACCCCTACAGTGCTGTGATTCAGTGGCTGGACAGGGCCCTAAGTACCCTGGATCTAGCTGTAGGTATCCATGTGCACTGCAGGGTAGTTGGATGATCTGATCCTTAAAGGTCCCTTCCAACTCAAACGATTCTATAATTCTTTGCTCTGAGGGAGAACGCAGATATAGCAAACACAGCGCTCCACAGCACCCAGCGCAACCACCCAGCGCCTGCCTCCGCCACAGCCACCGGCCGCCGCCCGCTGCGCATGCGCCACCGCCCGCTCTGTCCCACTCTACCGCCGCGGAGGCCGCCATCGCTCCCGGACAGGAAGCGGAAGTTGCGGCGGCTGCGCGCGGCGGCGGCGGCGGCGCACGCGGGGTTGGGTGCCGTTTCCTGCGGGGCCCACCCGGCACCCGGCCTGGCCCGGCGACTACGGGTGAGGCGGGGAGGGGGCGGGGAGCCGCGCCTCCGCCGGCGTCTGGTCGGGGACGCCGTCGTGGTTCGTAGTGGTGAGGCTGCCGAGGGCCGGTGGTGGGGCTGCGGGCCTTTATATAAAGGGGTGTTTTTGTGTCGTTGCAGGCAGCTCGCGAGGAGCCTTCCTGCTGGCGAACGGGGCAGCCTTCGCAGCGCTCCCCGCTGGGGTGCGTTTGTTGTTCGGGGCGGGCTGACGTCGCTCCCGTTCCTTCCTCCCTGCAGCAGGGGTAGCCGAGCCGCTTTCCGAGCCGTCGCCGCGAGCCGGCTTCGTGTGTGCCCCGAGATTGCCGTCGGCTCCTTTTCTTCTGAGGCCTTGCTGAGTTTTAATTATTTGTAGGTTCTGGTGGTTGTAAAGTAATTTAAGATGTTTGTGCCGCTCGGTTTTAGCTCGGTAATTGACTCTTGTGTTAGGAGACGTTGGTTGGGAATGGTTAAATGTCCAAAGAATTGGATTGTTTACGGATAAGGGCTGTTTTATTTGACTACTGTGGGCCTGCAACTTTAAACTTGCATCTTTATTTTATTTATTTTTTCTTATCCTGTGCTTTTTCTGTGTTATGGCTGCTGCAACGATAGTTCATGATACATCAGAAGCTGTAGAGCTCTGTGCTCCCTGTGGGTTATACCTTAAACCCATTACAAAAATGACCATCAGTGTGGCACTTCCTCAGCTGAAACAACCCGGAAAGTCCATTTCGAACTGGGAAGTGATGGAAAGACTGAAAGGGATGGTGCAAACCCATCAGTTTTCCACTCTGCGGATTTCCAAAAGCACGATGGATTTCATCCGGTTCGAAGGAGAGGTTGAAAACAAAAGTTTAGTCAAGTCTTTCCTTGCGTGCCTCGATGGCAAAACGATCAAGCTGAGTGGCTTCTCTGACATTTTGAAAGTCCGTGCCGCAGAATACAAGATTGACTTTCCTACCAGGCATGACTGGGATTCGTTTTTCCGTGATGCAAAAGACATGAATGAAACTTTGCCAGGGGAAAGGCCGGATACCATTCATCTAGAAGGCTTACCTTGTAAGTGGTTTGCAGCAAAGGACTCCGGCTCAGAAAAGCCAAGTGAAGAAGTCCTTACAAAAGTTTTCCAGAAATTTGGAGAAATACGTAATGTGGACATACCCATGTTGGACCCTTACAGAGAAGAAATGACTGGCAGAAATTTTCACACGTTCAGCTTTGGAGGCCATTTAAATTTTGAAGCTTATGTTCAGTATCGGGAGTATGCAGGTTTCATTAAAGCCATGAATGCCCTGCGAGGGATGAAGCTGATGTTTAAAGGTGATGATGGCAAGGCTGTGGCTTGCAATATAAAGGTAAGAAGCTGTTGTCACAGATAAATGTTAATTCCATAGTGCCTAAAGCGTACAGTTGTTTACCAGCTGGCATTACTATACGGTGAGAACAGCTGGCATTACTATATGGTATGGGGAACCAGTCCTAATGCAGTTCTAAAAGGAAAGTGGTAGAATAAACATGCTGTTAGACTGTAAACAAAGCAGGATGAGGCTTTGCTCTTGCTCTTTTTTTTTCCCTAAACAAAGCATTTACTGATACGAAAACAGCCAAGCAACTACCAACTATTGGGAACATTACTTGTTAGATGGATTTTATAAAGTAATATATATTTGCAAATCTTGTGTTTTAATTTAAAAAATAATTTGTAGCAAATTCAGACTTGCTATGCCTGACTTTGAAGTGCATTTTCTTTTGTATACACTAACAATTAGAAATTCTGGGAAGAGTAATAGCCTTTATATTTAATACTTGTGTTGATAAGAAGCTCTATCTGTCAAGTGTCAGAATTGTGAAGTAATGCTGCGTGGCCTCTATGGCCTGTGGAATACTGAGTTAATTGTGATTAGCGAACTTCATGAACAGAAAGGCCATTCAAACATTGAAACAACATGTTAGCCTATTTCTCTGTGAATCCAGTGTATTGAATTCATAATATTTACATGCTGAGTTCTTCAGATCTTTTTCTCCGTGACCTCGTTGTCTTAGAAGTTATTGGTGGGAGATTATCTGTCAGTCTCTTCACGTTATATCTGTGCAAGTATGGCCTAAGGAAAGGTTGTGATATGTTAGGAGACTTGTCTGTGTATTTGTATATTGGCTGAATTGCTTGCTTATTTCAGTATATTTGATTTTCATTCATCCAATGAGCAAACAGATTTCAGGAAAAAACTTGAGTACTCATTTATGTAATTTGGGAGCACGCAAATATTAATTTATTAAGTTCTAATTCAGGCAGTTATTATCTGGTTATCAAAGTTGGTCAGCTGAAACGTACACAGTGTTGTACGTATACCCTCCTATTCTCAAGGGGATGTGAAATTCAAACTGTCACTTGCGTGCAGTGGATTGAGGTTCCCAAATTTAGTTTCTCTTTGCAAGAGTATGCGTGCCTTCCTGGCAGCTGCCCTGGAATTGATAGCAGAGAGAGAAGACTGTGTCTGTGCTGTCAAGACAGATCACTTTCATGCAAGGTCAGAAGACTGTCCAGCTCTGTTTCTACAGGACTTTCATTGAAACATTGTTTTTATGTTGTTTGACCAAATTACACTGCACGGTATGTATTCCTCCTTCTGTGCTCCATGGTTCATGTCTTCCACAATACAGCAGCCTGTGTTACAGATCCCTGCTTGCACATGGGTGGTATTGCAGAGTTATAAAATCACTCGGTGGTTTGGGTTGGAAGCGACGTTGAAGATCATCTATTTCCAAATGCTCTGCTGTGGACAGAGGTGCTGCCCACTAAACCAGGTTGTGGTATTTCACACAGGATTTGAGGACACCACGAGTGTGATGTGTGTTCTTGGGTGCAGCTGGACATGGCCAAGCCGTGTCCATGCATTCTAGAAGATGAGCATTTCCCCAGATCTCACTGTTCAGTTGTATGCAGCATCATCATGTTGTTTTTCCTGTGTTAAATCTATAGCTATAAGCAACAGCCTAATATATCTCAATTTGTGAATCTTTAGGCTAGGGTAGGTGAGCAGGCACTTGCTTAAACCAGATGCTAAATGTTTTAGGACTGTTTATTTTCCCCAGAAGAACTTCAGGATTGCAGGGTTGCACACAAAGGGAAGCCTCTGTTAAGGCCCATTTCTGCCTAGAGCTGTGGCATACATGAGTTGAAATTTCAATTTGCTATTCTGGAAAACATTGGACAGCCTGGGCCTGAACCTCATGCAGTTTACAGCTGGCTATCAAAACACAGAAAAGTGTAAATTGGTACCTCATTGTTCTAGCATGTAGGAAGTAACCTTCAGAGACATTTCCCAGTCATCATCTTATGGTTCTCTAGTGCTTGTTTGTTTTGAAAAACACTTTGTTTCTGACTGTATTTACACTGTCTTTTGTTCTGTTGGTTTTTTTTGTTGGTTTTTTTTGTTTTTTTTTTTTGTTTTGGTTTGCTCTGTTTGCTTACATCTCTTTTAACTTATATTCTATAAAGGTTTCTTTTGACTCAACAAAACACCTCAGTGATGCATCAATTAAGAAGCGTCAGCTTGAAAGGCAGAAGCTTCAAGAGCTTGAAAAGCAGAGAGAAGAACAAAAACGCCGGGAGAAGGAAGCTGAGGAAAAACAAAGAGAGGAAGAAAGGTAGTTATTGCTTATGGCTCTCAGTTATATCCTGAACAGTAAAGTATGGCTAAACTGCAGTTACTCATTCCTGTTTGCATCAATAGAAAACAACTGAGTACTTGAGAAGTTTACTTATTCCTGCAGCTGAAGCAAAGCACTTAAAAATGAGTGAGAATATTGTAGTCCTTTCAAGGTAGTAAGGTTCAGGGATTGTGGGACTTGGAGATGAAGAAGGATAGTTTGAACTTTTTTTTTTCTGTAAGTATTTAATTCTAGGGTCTTGAAACACATTTCTTCTACTAGTAAGTAACAAATATTGTGAAGTTTGTTTGCTCGTAGCATTGGTATTTTTCTAGAAAAGAATGAGATGAAAGCATATTGAACAGTGGTATTTTAAGAAAATGGATGTAAATCCAGATGTCAGGTGACAATTATTCAGAATATAACTGTTAATGCAGATTTTTGATGCCCATTTGTTTTGATGGGTATAATTTCTCACTGCTTAATTTCTAATTATTTAACAGTTTCTAGAAGTGTGATGTAAACCATCTTATTGAAGCAGAACTATTAATTTACTCAGTAAGTTATTTAGGTTGTCACATATACTTCTGTTTGGTTCAACATAACAAACCTGCAAAATAGTCAGTTTCTTTAAAATAATCCATTGTAAGTCTGATCTCAGAAAGCTTTAGCATAAGCTACTGTTTTTCCTTGGTGCCTGCAATGAAAAGTACCAACCCACGCACTCGTTAATTGGTTTGGAAATTTTCATCTCACTGTGATGATTGATGCCTAGCTGCCCAGTAATGTATCATTATTGTCTCTATAGAATTGTTTTTTTTTTTTTTTTTTAATCTCTTATAACCATGTTTTATGTTTGAATATCAGCATATTTTTAAATATTGACAAGCTGGTGATTGTTTTTATCAGCACACGTAAAGGCTAAAAAATGCACTGTTTTTTATTTCAGTTATTCAGTAATCAACAAACGTATATTAAGAAAAAAACTAATTCAGAGTACGAAATATATTTTTATATGTAGCCAGAGTCTAAAGTTGCACCTGCCCTAGACAAGGTAAAAATCTAATCTCATTTTAGGAAGCAGAGAGAACTTGAAGAATATGAGAGAGAGAGAAAAAGAGAAGAAAAATTGCGCAAGAGAGAACAGAAGCAGAAAGATCGTGAAGTTCGACGAAACAAAAAGCAGCTTGAGAAACTTCAAGCTGAAGAACAAAAGAAACTTCAAGAGAAGATAAAGTTAGAAGAAAGGAAGCTCCTGTTGGCACAGAGAAATCTTCAGTCCATTAGGCTAATTGCGGAACTGCTAAGCAGGGCAAAGGTAATATTATTTATTGCAAAAGCTAATGAGAAACCCGGCAGAACAACTGATGTAGGTGGGAGTGGGGGGCTGCTGCTCCTCATGGGGTTGTACTAAACCTGTTGTTTAGTTCAAAAATTGAAAACATTGCAATGAGCCCTTGGTAAAATGTGCACATAAAGGTGAATGAAAAAGTGAACTTGAATCTGTAGTCCTTCCAAGACTAATTGGTAGTCCTCTCAAGGCTAGGAAAAGAATGTAAACATGATAACGTTAATTAAACAGACGCTAAGATATAAGACTCCTCATTTCTGATTTGGGTTTTGGTACTCTTTCCACTGTAGCCTTCAGCAGTTCCACTATTTCAGGTTTCAGAGAAAGGGGTTTCATTATTTGATGTTTAAAAAAACGTGTAGAATGATTTATACTCCGGAGCAAGTACTGTCAATTAAAGTTTTGAATGTTAGATTCTGTCTCTAATGGTGATGGTTTTATTTTTTCTCTAGTATTTGATTAAGATTTGGGTAAAGTTTTGTTAAGGTATTATGTAATACACTTGAAATTTTTTTTGCAGGAATGAAAAGCAGTGTGGCAAAGCACACTTTGTTCTTTGATGCTGGTCTATCCCAATAGTGTTTTTGAATTAGAGCTCATACAGGGCTAAATGGTCAATTGTATGCTGGGAGAAAAGAGGAGTAGTTCTTGTGGATTTTGTGGCCAAGTAGACTCATAAAATAGGAGTTTTATTTTCTGTCTATAATATTGAGGACTGCACCAAGCCATTTGGGGTGGAATTTAAAAAAAAAAAAAAAAAAAAAAAGTTTGAATCTCTCTTTAGTGTCATGTGTCAGTAAAGTGACTGACAATGTGAGAATCAGTTTCTACGTGACTGCTTTTTTTTTTTTTTAATAGATCTATTGTAAAATAGTTTATGAATTATAGGTCACAAAACTGTAGGAGAAATTAAGTTTTAAATTTGTCTGAAACCTTCAAGTGTTGAGCTTGAGAATTATCAAATATTTCAAATTGCATATGTTGCTCTTGCTTGTGTGTTACATTTCTCATACTAAGGGTGCATAAAGATGAAGCTTTTCTTTGCATTGTGAAACTGCTGAAACTGAATCCACAAAATTCTTGTCGATGTTATACTGATATTTCACTTTACAACAACTGCATGTTACAGCATTCTTTATGTATTTATTTATTTTTATCTCCTGTAGCAGAGGAAGCAATCTTTTTATTTTAGGACCTTCAACGTCTGTTCATAAGACATTTTATTTTCTTACCAGTTTGCTGCTTATGTGTTATGGTACGACTTGGAAGCATGAACAGATCTATAAGTATTTTCTTTACTGTTACTTTCCCTTTCATTGTCTTTCAGACAGTAAAGCTTTTGGAACAAGAACAAAATGAAGAAAAGATCCGTCTTCAGCAACTAGAGGAGAAACGAAAGCTTCAGGAGGCTGAGCTCAGACGTGTGGAAGAAGAAAAAGAAAGAGCACTGGGGTTGCAAAGAAAAGAAAAAGAGCTGAGGGAGAAACTACTGAACAATCTTCTTAGCAAGAAAATGGATGCAGTTCATCAAAGCAAAGAAGAAACGGAAGCATCTCAGTCTGGCACTGTGAAAATTGCTAGTGATGTTCCGCACACCGTGTCATCCAGCTGCATCACTTCTACCTCAGGACAGGCTGTTACAGACAAACTGGCATCAGACTCTCAAAGAGAACTACCATCCCCTGAGAATGTAAATGCTCAATGCAAGTATTTGAATGGCAATATTCATGACAGAGTTGATGTCAAAGAAGGTCAGAAACTTCATACCACGGACTCGGAGAGGTGTTCAGAGAAAAGAAGTTCAACACTGTCATGTGTTCCTGCCAATAACCAGAAGCAGAATACCTGCAAGAAGGACTCGCGCTGTGAGCAAAGCAAACAAAGCACAGAGCCAAGGAGAAGAAAGAGCCGTTCATGTAGCAGCATAAACACTGATGAGAGTAAGGGTAAGCGAGAGAGAACCAGGCACAGAAGAGATGCGACTTACCAGGATGAAAGAAGGAGGAGGGAAAGGAGGTATTATAGACACTCTAGCAGAAGTTACAGTCCTCGACGAAGTCATAGTCCTCGTCGAAGAAGTGTAAGCCCCAGACGTTCACATTATAGAAGAACTCACAGTAGTGAACGTAAACGAGACAGAAGAGAAAAAAGCCGTAGTCGCAGAAGCTCAAGCAGGAAACGAAGGTACCGGAGGAGATCACTGAGTAAGCAAAGGAGTACTTGGAGTGGGTAGTGGAGGCCCCGACTGTTTGAAAAGGCTGTGGTTGGACACAAGGGCGAGAAAGTCGTAAATGAGACCTCACTGGTGTGACTGCTATAAGAAAACACTTCTGATTCAACCAATGCATAACTTGCATCTAGTCCCTAAAATAGATGCCTGATTTTTTTTGAAGTTCTGTTGTGCTTTGTTGTCTCTTTCTAGGTTTCTACCACAATGTAGTTGTTCTGCTTGTATTTGAATTCCTACTGTGCTAAAAGCCAACCTGCTTTCTGGATTTTTTTTATTTTTATTTTTATTTTATTTTATTTTTTTTTTTCAGTTTTCTAAATTGTAATTTCAGTTGATTTACTTTTTCCTCTCTTATGTATGTGCCAGTTACAGGAACTCCAGTTGTGACAAGCTTTGACCTACAGATTTATCTAAAATGCTTTCTGGTGTACTTAATGAAATCATGTTTAACAAAGTAGAATTTTTCCTGATTGAGACAGATAACAAGACTTTCGTATGATTCTTAAAACTGACTATTAAGATATGCAGGAAATCTTTTAAACTGCTGTGATTCCTTCATACATCTGTATAGTGCCAGGCTTTGTTGCCCAAGCTATTCTGGTATGTAATGCCCTTTGTGTAGTAATACTTTCCATGTAAGAAAGGCACACTGGTGTAGGAAGTAAAAAAGCAGTGGTAAAAAGGTGGAAAAGTTGTTTTGTTGCCTTGTTGACATACTTGGCTTTTAATTACTTCGGGTGATGTTAGAGCCACTTGAAGCGTTTTTTCAGGTACGTACAGAGCTAGCCATTGTCTTTTGAAAAAGGGGCCTTCTTGCTAAATTATTTTTACTTGTGGTGTTGGAAAGTAAGGCTGCAGTGTCTCTTGTTAAATGCATTTAAGACTACATTTGCTTCTAAAATGGAGCTCAGGAATATGAAAAGCTATAACGTTACAGTGAAAGAGTTTATTTTGCCTTTTTATGGTAAAATTAAAGAGAAACCTGTTTCCAGTGAACTGAAGTCGCTGTTTTCATGTGTCAGTATGTTAATATCTGCAGAATTGTTGTATGAGAATCATTTTGTTTAAAACAAACAAACATTTGAATAATGAGGCTTAGCTGCTTGTCTTGCCAGTCCTGTCATATACAGCTGCATCCACTGTTAATTCAGCAGGATGTGTGCTCCTGGGGTGCAGTTTTCCCTACACTGATGTGGGGAGTGCCTCTTTGTTTCTCTCCTTGAATCCACAGACTGATTTATCTAGTCATCTCAATACCACCAGTTTCCTGAATTCTGAGCAGCTGCTTTTGTTGATGAGTTAATTTTCTACAGTCTTTGCTGAAGTATTAGAAATCTATCTACTTGAAGATAAACTTATATTTTGTAACAGTTTGGCTGAAACCCACTATAATGTTGATTGCAAGTTTTGATGGAATGCCTGTTTGTAAATCTCTGTGACTCTAGCCTGCTATCAAATAACTGATGTGCTATCCATGGTAACGTCATATTTGAGGGAAGGAAAAAAAAACCAACTGTGATTACATCTGCAGTTCTGTAAGAAGTTGACCTAAGGCTGTCAATACCAATGTTTTTGAGCTCAGGGTTAGGATTCTTACTAGTTTAGTATTTCCACAATGTATCCTGTGGATTTCCATTGGGATTTATGTCAGGATCTTGGCAATTAATATATGTAATTGGGGAAATGCTAGTATATAGTGCTACTTTCAGGAAGCCTTCATGCTGTTAATGCACTGTGTTATTGCCAAATGTGAAAGTGCTTAAGGCAGTGGCAGTCATCAAAAAGTGTTCATATTAGGAAAATCCAAGAGAGATTATTTCTCGATACAAAAGAAAGCAGTGCTGGATAGGTGGTTTGGCTTTTCGCTCTAAAGAAGGCACCAAGAGTAGGCTTGATATCCCAACCTGAAGTGATTAAATTCAGGTTAAATTCCCCTGATGTCCAATGCAGTGTCTGAGATCAGAGCAATCAGGGGCTGACAGAGGCAAGGGGAAGGATGTTTATCTGTCAGGCTTTGATTGTTTAGCCTGACACATCATATTGAGCACTGTCTTCATACAACATACAAAAAGTACAGTAGCATAAAGTATTCAGTTGATTAAAAGCCTAAAAGTGCTTTGAAGCTACTTGCAAATGCTTACTTAAAATGTGAGGAGAGAATATGAAGGTAGTTGTCTTTCAGCCAGCTTGACCCAATCACAGCCTCTTAAAACTACTGCTTAAAGTTGCCCAATAAATATGCTCACTGCAGAATTTCATCTAGTATTAACACTTTGAGGTATTGTTTCAGATGCATGTTTTGCTTCAAAGCTCTCCAAAGTCTTTTCAGTGCTGAATCCACTGAAATGAATATTGCATCCTGTTTCCTTGTAACCTGGGTCTGGCTGGGCTAACTTTAACTTCATTCATAGCAGTGAGCAGGTTGGTGGTGCTTGGTTGTTGTTATTCAGTTACATAGTGAGATGCACAGTGACATGGACTCCAAAACAAACAAAAAAAATAATAATGCCATCCTATGGTACCTGGGACTGCAAGATAATTTTTTGTCAGCTGAATGACAGGCATGGTACAGTGGTACTTCTTTATAGACCAGCTTCTTTGTCTACTCCATCTGTTCTATTTGTTGGTAACCCAGGACTCGGCATGTTCTAGTCTATTTCACTCCATATGGCCTTGATAATGATGCCTATAGCTGAATGCTTTTGTACTGCAAGTAACCAACAGCACCCACAAGGCAGTCAGTTTAAAACCTGTTCAGATATTTTTCTACTCTGTGATAAGTGTGGATGTACCGTGGAACTGTAGTGGGCGCCACCACGTTTCTGTTATTGGTTCCCAAATTCAGCATTGATGATGTCTTTGAACTGCAAAGAAACTTGTTGAGACTGTAATCTTTTGATACAAACACAGCTATAATTATGTTCTGCTCTGCCCAGTACCATCTATTAAAATTTTTTTCTTATTGCTGAGGTATGTGCTTGTAATACTTCAAAAACCTCGGTGGTGCGATAACATGAAGAACATTATTTTTGATAGTAATCACATGTTCTGTATTGATTATATGTCATTATATCTCTACCAAGTGCATTCTAGAGGTCTTTGTGTTTCAAATGAAAGAATCTGGAATACCAGCAGGCTTTATAATGGCTTCTAGAAGATTACATATTACAGTCACTGATATTTTGCTCTCTTCTGGAAGAATATTGTGATGCTGATTGTCTGCTTGTATTTGCAGGACTGACTTTGAGGAGCTGAAAAAATTAGTTGGTCTTTACCTTCTTTAACATTCATTAAGAGTTAACAACTAATAATTATCAAAGACATCCCAAAATGCTTTTGAAGTACTGAATTTATATTGATATGGTGAATATTGGACAGATACCGACTAGCACGTAAGGCTACTCTGTTAACTTTACTCTCAAGCATTTAGCTGCTAGAAATCCAACTGTGAGAATTTATGCAAAGGTATCTATTTGCATGTTTTAACTCCTGAAATTGGGCTATGAGAATTATGTACCAATGGTTATCCGACTCTTACTCCTTGCTTTGACTTGCCGTGAGATATGCATAACTTTTGTTTCATTGCATCAAAGTTATACATGTATTATCCCACTTGTTAGTGTTCCTATTTATTTCCCTTGCAAAGTGACTGGAAATAGAGATTGATATCAGCGTTTTTATCTGAAATATGGCTGGAAGAGTAGCTTATTCAACAGAAACTACTTCCTATACACAGGAATGCTCCAAGCCCTTCAGTCTCTTGTTGTGAGGCTTTTCATCTGTTTTCATCTGCTTACTGGTTGCCGTGGTAATTTTGATAATGGGCAAGTCTTACTGCCAGAAGTAATTGGGATGAGTAAGAAGTGGTTACTAAAACCATGACTATATCCGTATTTCTTCTAATTGAGTCTGCCTTTGTAGAGTAAGCTATTCAGTGACATAAAATAAAGGGTATGGTTGATTAGGTTGTGCTAATAAAACGTTTCAAATGTCATGTGAAAATTGCATCTTGAAAACTGTTAAGAGTAAATGGTAATTTTAACACTGGCTTCCAACATAGCAAATATGGGATTGTGTAGTTGATGACTGATCAGTGCAGTCTGGACATCACAGGTGTCAGCTTTAAGGCAGTTTTGAACACACTGTGTAAGAGACTTGCAGCTGCTCGTGTTTAAGAGCAGGGGTACAGGTATTAGTTAAGGCAGCAATTAAACCGAGTAGTTTGGTATGTGCCTTAATTTATAAATGGGTAAGGAAAAGCAACCTCTGTTAGCTTGTACTGTTATACAGGTTAAATCTTTTTTTAAATGATGATTAAAAGAAAATATATGCATTGCCTATGTCTGATATGCTGCCTTTGAGGTTTGGTTATAATCTGGATGCAACAGTCATTTCATTAAGTTTATATTGTATTATATTGACGTGGTCCTTCTCCAGCCTGACAAGCATGTTAATTGCAGAGTCTCTCTTGCAGAATCACAATAAATTTACAGAGCTGTCTCTAGAGTGTGTATAAGGCTGCAAACGGGTTGCAGTTCTTGCTTCAGTATGGGGTATGCAGAAGCGATCCCATTGCTGTCTTATGTTCTTATGTGTAAGTGTCACTTTACTGGTATCAAAAGGAAGTGTACCAGTATTTTTCTGTTGTACCTAATCTGAAGACTGAAGGCCTGTAATGCATGGCCTTTTTTTTTTTTTTTTTTTTTTTCCTAATCATAATACAGAAAGCACACTGTACCAATTTTCCTCTTACACGCTGTATGGCCCCAACAGCATCTTCTGCTACCTAACAATAAATCTGTAGATTGGTTTTGCCATAGGTACAGGTACAACTTCTGAAAGTATAAAGCTGTTTGGAATGTTCTTCAGTTGATAACTAATCTAGTCACATGTGCACTGTGGCAGCTGTAAAGTGAGTTCCCCCTGGTCTGGGTGGGATGCTCAGGAGTGCCATCCTTGAAACGATTATTTGTAGGACAAAGAAAAGGGTTGATGGTGTGGGGGTTCTCTGGGCAGCCCAGAAGTCTCAACCTGTCCAGCAGCAAGTGCCCAAGCAAGTATTTATCATCTTGCAGGGATAGATCTTCCCTGCAATTCTGTGCATGACTATGGGAATATGCCTGAATAATCTCCTAGGAAGTACTAGTAGGAGTGTCTGCTACTGTCTACCTTAACCAAGAAAGGGAAGGACTGTCAGTGTCTTTCCCTTTTGCTGTCTGCCCTGAATGTTGATCACAAAGAGCATAAGGCTGTAACAAGCATTTGAGATGTGTCCGCAGGTGATAAGAGGGGTGCTTACCCATGTCAAGCCATGGGGAGACTTGTCACTGAAGCTCAGTTTGGAAGTAACATTGCTTATGACTTCAAATATGTTCTCAATCAGAGTTTCTGCTGAGAAAGGGGAAAGAGACTGAGCTGGGTATACAGGATTTCCTGCCTGCTACAAATGGCTGCCAGTACTGTATGTGATGTAAACAGGAAAAACTAAAACTAGCTGGTTTCAAAACTGGTAGCCAAACATGAGAAGAACAAGAAGTGAAAAAGAAGAAAGTTTCATTGAAGCTGGATGTTCAGACAAAGAAAAAATATGATACTGTCTTAGCTTTTTAGCATTCTTTTTTTTAAAAAAAAAAACAAAAAAAAAAACAAAAAAAAAACCATCAGCTATTATCTTAATGAACTTCCAGGCCAACAGACACCTGACAATAAACTCAGTATGTTCAGAGGCTGAACGTTAGTGAGAACAGTTGTTTCCATGGTAGTGTTATAGAAGCTTGTTGGTGTTGTTGTGTCCCTGAGATTTATTGCTCATAAAGAAAGTTGTATGCATGAATATACTGTCAGCTGTCATTTCTCACCAGCAGGCACATTAGTTTTACTTGAAATATGTTTTATTCATTAAGAATTTCTTTTAAGCATTATACAAAAATGGTGTTTTGTTTTTGTCATATTTGTCTGTAGTGCAAAGATGAATTTATTACCAGAGCAGAAACCTGAAGATAAAGTATCAGCTTTAGCCTGAGTGTGATCTAAGTGCTATGACAAAAACCTTGATAGGGTTTTCAGAGGCAGAAATCCACTGCAAGTTCATCTCCATGAATGCATTTTTAGCTTACAAGGGGCTTAGGCTTTAAGCCCCAGTAAAGTTTACTTGGAAACAGCAACACAGTGCATGTGGCTCTAGATCAATCTGATGTGAGTTATCCGTAACCCTCCTCCCCTATATCTCTCTGCTGGTAGTAATCCCATTAGATGATTGCATCTGGTGTCCTTGACAGATGGATTTAGTCAATTGAAAAAGAACTCCAGGTGGTTTAATCGACTGTGTGGTTGTTTTATAACCAGAGCCTCTTGTACCTACAACTTTGCCTCAAGTGGAGTGGATCTACGGCTCATTACTGGGCTCTATCAGTTATGCACATAACCATTTTGTTATTTAGTTAGAACTACAAGAATTGAGATGTTTTAAGCATTTTCTTTTCCTGTAGAACTGTCTTTAGAATGGGTCTGAGGAACAGGGGAGAACAGTTTTAGATTTGGTGAAGTGAATGAATTTTGCAGAATCACAATTCCAATATGCATTACCTAAATGATAGCTGTGATTAGTCAATATCTTTTGGGGTGTGGGGATAGCTGGGGAAGATGCTTTTTTTTTTTTTTTTTTTTTTTAGTGTAGCCACATTATTGGAATCTGTTGTCTAGTTTTCCTTCAAAGAAGCCACCTCTTGTATAAATCAGCTCACATTTTACAGTCGCAGGCAAGGAGGTATGGTTCGATCTGCAGCATTCACAATAAAAAACCAGCAGAATCTAATCTGTACAGACACATCAGGCAAGGCCATAACACTGTAATTGCAGGCTGTGTTGTCCAGGATGGTGAACTCTGTACAGTTTGGGTGAGCTGTAGCTTTTTTATATTTGGCAGAAACGCGTTGGTAATGCAGTACACCTTGTGTTGATAGAATATAGGAAACATAGATGGTTTTTGCGTTGTGTACAGAAGGGAAAAAGGCTGATAACTACTTCAAGAGTTAGTTACAGTTAGCTAGTTATATTTCACTGTTTTATTACTGGCTGAAACAAATACAGTATTTTCTGGCTATAATGAAAGGAACATAATAGAAAATATGGATTGTCAAAAGGAAACTTTCAGTTGTTAAAGTTTTGCTGCATCCTCAGAGTGGCAAAAAGGAAAGTATAGGAAACTGAATTGGCCTGTTTCTTCTAAAAATGAGGTAGGATCGAAGGAAAAGCACTGAACTGGCCTTCTGCAGTTGCAGATAAATACAACCCTAATTCCTAGGAAAAGGAGAACATCAAAATTTTATGTTGGGACAGTAAGTGCACCTTTTTAAAGATGCAGTGAGATAAAATACACAAAGTGTTGAGCTGCATTGTATTGCTCAGGTTTTGACTGTTAACCTTACTGCTGAAGCACGGAAAAAAACTACAACTGGAAAAGCATTATTTTGTAACATGTTGCCATGGCCATATCACCCAAGTCAGGTCTGATTTAATCTTATTGACTGAAGGGTCACTAAATGTGTAATATAAAAACTGTGATTCTTTCCTTTCTAGAAAGGGCCTGCTTTTACAAAATGCTGAGGGCATGATGACCAGCATTTACAAGCTGGTGTAATGAACAGTGAGGCTGATGATGAAGATGACATCTATTCCACCTCTGTCATTTGGAGGTCATCTCGTGGTCACCTGCAAAATAAAGGAAAACATGAGGAGTAAGTTTAGGGTTTTTTTTTTTTGTTTTTTGTTTTTGTTTTTTTGATTTTTTTTGTAGACTTTGCTTGCGTGACAACTGTCAGAACAAATTTATCACTGTGACAAAGCAGGACAGCAGACAGGCTCTTGTAGCCCTTCCTTGGTCTTGCTGTTTCTGTGCCTATGGATAGGATGTGCTTCATGGCAGTCTGTGGACCTGTGCCTGTCACAGCACTTCTCAGGTCCCCTCCTGCATGCTTTGCAGTAGTTATGTCATTCTTTAAATTGTATGGCTAAGCCTTGATGTCACGCTATTCTAATCTGAACAGGTCCCTGTTTCAGTGGTATCAAGGTAAAGACTGTGTGTGTCTCCTAGCTCATGATGATTGATGGATGAGTGAAACTGGGAAGGTCAGAGATGCTTGGCTTGGCTAGGAGGATGTCTAGACCTTTCTGAACTGAGTGGATGCTCCTCCACTCATAACCCATGAGAATGTCCCAGTTTCACTTCTGAAGAAGCATGCCACCAAGTTGTCTTCTGTCCTCCATTTCATTGGGCTTCCTGTACTAGGAATGTCTCTCAGCATCAAGACATCAGTGTGATGGGATAGAGCTGCTTTTGAAGAAGCCTAGGATAAGACTTGGGTTTGGTTTATGAACTGGTGCATTATACTGAGTTCAGGTTCTTCATATCTGCTCTGTATTGTGATCTTCAGAGCTCGTTTTTTCCTCAGACATCTTCAACTTTCAGTTGTTTCTGAAATACCATCATGTTAATTGACCACTGAACCAATGGTATTTGCTTTAATCTGCGCCAACACTTCTTAGCCTGGTTCTTGATGATGAAAGATGCAAAGAAATAGTTGAGGCTGCCTTAAAAAAACTGTTGAAGGTAAATAACTTAGCTTATGTGTTTGTTAACCAAAGTGTTTCTCAGAAGCAATGAGATTAAGTGGATCAGCTGGTGTGCTGTGCCTAGTGGAAAGAAGCTTATTTAAATTAAGAGGAGCAGAGAACCTGTGTCTCAGTACTAAAGGAAGATGGACTCCACAGAAGACCTTGAGTATCCTCAAATCATCTTTCAATACAGCAATGGATTTTTAGTCTCAAAGGTAAGAACCATAAATCAGTCTTGGATAGAAATCTTAAAAGCAAAGTGAAAGATATACTCAAAAATCTCACCTTAGTTCCTTAATCTAAACCTTTAGAAAGAAAATTGTCTCATAGGAAACTATCCTATCTCCTCATCTAGCTGTGAAGGAAATTTGAGAAGACAAAAGTTTGAGAACTTTGGCTCCTCAGGTTAGAATTAATGTTTATTGAGATCCCACTGACCTTAGGATGAGCAGATCTTGTCGCTGCTGGAGGCTTTGAAAGCACAGTGCATTATAGCTGAGAACTTGTTGTCTGCCTCAAATGAGCAAGGCTCCTTATATCATGGGATTTCTTTTCTTTTTTTTTTTTTTTTTTTTGGAGTTTGAGAGCCAGAAGACTGCCTTGCGTTTCTGCCTTTTCCCTTTTCATACCCAACAAATGGTAAGACTTTTCAGATTTGTTCTGAGAGAGTTTCCTTTCTTCTCACATGATTTTTTGATTTATATTTTGCAGAAGGCAATTTTTGGTAACTTCCATTTGTTGTCACTTTTTGACTTTAAAAGGATGGTCTTCTTTAAAGCTATTTTTTCCAGACAGCATCTGATCATGGCACAAGGTTAGAATGAATAGTTGTAATTTCCTTAACACTTGCTGATGTTTGCCTTTGTGTGTGGACATAGGCAGAAAAATCCTGTCTTCCAATGCAGTGGAGGTTTTTTCTTCATTTACAACTCTAGTTATCTTTCCTACTGTCTTCTGCTGCACCTCTAGCCAACATGGTAACAAAAGGAATACACTTCAGAGGTCTGTAAATGCTGCTGAATCCAAAGGCTCCAGAAGTGCAGAACACTTAGTGAAGAGAGGAAAAAATAGATGACGACAGACCTTTCTGCTTGGTGAGAAATAAGATTGCCCAGCACTTTCAAAATTAAAAGCAATATGATGTTTTTGAGAAGCAGTCTCAACTTTGGTTAAGCCATGCTGTTCTTACTGAGGGTAAGAGTAGCTTCCCTTGGACGTTATCAAATCACTGTATAATCAGTAGTCCAATGAGCTGATGACGTTATGCAGGTTTTGGGGGGCTTTTAGGTGGTCAATGAAATAGGTTATCTGCTACTTACAAATTTGACTGTTTACAGCTAGAGAAGGATATTTTTGTTATGTGTAGTTGTGTATGTCTGTCTTAAGGCTTCTCTCTAAAGCTTATACATACACCTTCACTCTTTTTGAAAAGACAGTGCATTTTTGTTGGCCTGAATAAGGCTGCCATCTCGGTTGAGACAAAACTCCCTTCCCTGGAGACTCTGCTGTAGCTGTGGACTTTGGTACCTGAAAATAAATCAGTTTTGTGTGTGCGTATTACTCAAAGAGGGTCTACAGAGTGGGATATCCACCCCTTCCCTATAGCATATGTTAAATAATTAGTTGAAAGGGGAGGGGAAAAAAAAAAAAGAAAGAAAAAAAGAATGACCCCCTCCTCTGAATAAGACCAAACCAACAAAACATAAAGCCAACAAACTCACAGTCTTACCTTTGCTTAAGTTCTCCAAGCCAAAAAAAAAAAATCCCAAAAAACAGAGCAACCAAACAAGTGAGACTTGTAAATGTGTTCTGAAACAAAGCTAAAATCAAGAACATTCACAACCGAAGAATGGCCCTTAAGCATGAACTTTATAAGTCTGAAAAATTGTTTGGTTTGGCTAGTAAACATAAAAATAAGGTTGCACTATAAGGAATCTATGGCATTATCAGTGCTTAGAGAATATTCAGCTGGACTTGTGCATATAAAATAATTTTTTTTTTCAGGTAAAAAAAATATTTTATTATGTGCATATTTTCTCCAACAAAACAACTTGGAAATGCAGTTAACTTTGGTACTTTCACCTGAGCCCTTCCTCTCACTTCCAGGTTATGTTCACTGCCTGTGAGTTAGGAGTCTTCGATCTTCTGCTGGAGTCAGGACAACCTCTATCTTTAGATGTCATTGCTGCACGCTTGGGTACAAGCATCATGGGGATGGAAAGACTTCTGGATGCCTGTGTGGGATTGAAGCTTTTGGCAGTAGAGCTGAGACGAGAAGGAGGTAAAGAAGGAAGATGAAGGGGAATCACAGAATGGTTGAGATTGACGAGGACCTCTGGGTTCATCTGGTCTGACTCCTTTCCAGCAGGGCCACCCAGAGCAGGGTGCCCAGATCAATGTCCAGGCAGCTATTGGAGATCTCCAAGGAGGAGATTCTACAGCCTCTGGGAGCCTGTGCTTTTTCACCCGCACGACACAGAAGTGCTGTCTGGTGTTCAGACTTCCCTTATTCTTGTTTGTGCCCACTGCCTCTTGTCCTGGCACTGGGCATCATGAAAGAGAGCCTGGCTCCATCTTCTTTGCACCCTTTAAAGGGTAGAAGGAAAAAAGGAAAACTCTTAGAGTTCTCATGATTTTGAAACTGAGGTCCAGTGTGAGGAAAGGTGATACCTAGTCTTAGGCCGGTTACCATAGCTTAAAGAAGAGATCATCTGAAAGAAGCAGGAAATGTCGGCATGATTGGAGACATACAGAAACTCTCTCTTGGGGTTTCGTTTATCTCTAAACTTCTTTGTGCAAGAGCTTTAAATGATCTTGTACAAGATAACTATCACTACAGAACTTGTGTCCAGAGAAGTATGATGTGTGGGCATGATTTTAAGCTTTAAAACAAAATGTGAAGGCAACTTAAAAGCACATTTGTTTTCTTTGGAAGTTTTACCATTGTGTGAAGGAGCTTGTTAGGTTTCTGGTCTGAACTGAGAAGTGACAGGAATTCCATCTTGCCCTGAAGTCTTTGAGTCCATGTAATCAGAAAAGGCTGTGCCCATCAGACATCTAGTGATGATGAACTTTGAAATGTTTGAGTCCTGGTGTGGTTGTGTTTTCTTGCCCTATTTCAGGCTTACAGCAGGTGCTCTAGGAGTTCAGGGAACTTATTCTGACAGCAGAAGCATGTAGATAAATAATGAACCTTACAAAATGTTCCTCTTGCTGTTCCTGAGATGTTTGACTCTGAAGGAAACATAGGTAGATAGTGTTTACCCATGCTAAATGGGACAATGCAGATTTCACCAGCCCTCACCAACCCCAGAATACTGTGCTACACATTACCTTTGGAAGAACTAAGTGTAGAAGCAACGTGTTTCTCTGTTGGGATGTACAGATATGTTCTGATAATGTGTATATATATCATGCTGTACAATGGGCTTGGCAAGATGATATCATATATGTTAGTAAATGTATTTATTTCACCTCTTAGCCTTCTACAGAAACACAGAAATTTCCAATATCTACCTTACGAAGTCAAGTCCCAAGTCTCAGTATCATATTATGATGTATTACTCCAATACCGTCTACTTGTGCTGGCACTACCTGACTGATACTGTGAGGTGAGGATGAGGATGCGGGTGTTGCAGGCTACTTTGCTACATTTGTGTGTCTCTTCTTAGCGTCCCTAGAAGGGGTACAGAAGATATTGGATGGTTCTGAGAAAATAAAATTAAAAAAAAAAAAAAAAAAATCTACTGCTGTTGCTACTGCATGTTTGTCCATTTCTCCTCCTATCTCCTCCCTACAGTAGATCTAGAAAGGACCTCTGTGTGTTTTGGTATTTGGGAGACAACTTGTTCATTGCAGTTGCTTTTATTTTTGGAGACATCAAAATAAAGGATGAGTAGCAATGACTAAGGATACTTCTATTGCAAAGGCATAATAGAGTAGCTCACTATAGGGCATGGAGTCTCACTTATTCTAGTCTGCAACAAATGAAAAACTGGCTATGCATGAAGGTGGTGACTGGTGATCATCACACCAGTTTTGCACCTCTGCCTCAAATGTAGCTCCATGGAGAACAAGACATTCTTGTTGAAATATTTCGCCATCTTTTGGGAGTGGCAGGCAGGGATGTCATTACATCCATGGCACAGAGACATATAGTCTGTCTACTAACCTCAGCTCCTGTGTGTGTTTGCAGTAAAGAAGGAATCCATGCTAATATGATAATGTTTTGGGGTTTTTTTATTGCTATTTTAGAGAAGGAAGAAATCAATATGAAAGAGCTTTTGGCATTTCATCTGAAGACCTCTTTGGAGCCATGTACAGGTATTAGTATATTAATATAAATATATTTCTTGTGGTAGGCAAAATTTGTTTTTAATTATGACTGAGTTTTAATATTGTGATGTGAGAATTCAATTCATTAAAAACATCATGCAGAGTTTTCCCTTCTCAGCAATATCCATTACTGGAACACTTGGATATTTTGAATAGGAATGTATAATTTCCTATTATGAAAAAGAAATCTCAGGTCTCCCTGAAGTACAAGAACTAGCAGTAATACACTCATTGACTTTGCTATATTTAATTCCCAATTCAAGTGCATCAGTGCATACCTATTCCTTTTTGCTGGATAAGTCTCAAGCTTGGTTTATGTGCAAAGAGAAGATACTGGTTGCAAATAAAATGAGATGTCAATGCTTAAGCTAAATTTCTTAGTAAGAATTCTATGATAAGAGTCACTAAGAATACTATGAGTTACATTTCTAAGTTACGTTTCTGTATGCTGTGTCTGTTACTAGATCAGAAGAAGAAATGCTGAAGTTCTTGGCTGGCCAGAACTCAATCTGGAGTATATGTGGCAGAGATGTACTTACTGCATTTGACCTTTCTCCTTTCACACAGATTTATGATCTCGGAGGTGAGCATCAGTAGATCTTTTTCAAAAAGCCTCTGAATTATTTTTCCAAGCTTGAGGAGGGCAAATAAAAACATACAGAAGAGCATCTTCTATTTTATATGATGGGCAAAGCAATGGATAGGGTATATCTTAATCTTGTCAGCAACAGAGGGATGTTTTCTCATTCTGCATGTGTTTTTAAAAAATATTAGATTGGTGTGAGTATTAGGAAGCTCAAGTTTTTGTCCGTGGATTCTCATATGTGCATATAGTGGCTCATCTCATTTACATGTCAGATTTGCTCTTTTGTATTTCCTTGCTTGATATGTTCTTCCAGAGCCAGACTCTTTCTCCTACAGTCAGTGCCATTATATTGATGTGCCATTATGCCCGCACTCTCTTTCCCCATTGCTGCTGAGCACTGCTGAGATTTATGGAACCTGTTAGGTTACCTTACTGCTCCATCCCTCACTTGGCAGCTCTGTTTTTCACTTCCCACCTTTTGTGACCCACCACTGGCTGAGGTGCTGTGTAAGGGCTGTAAGAGCTGGAGCTGACCCTGCAGGCTGGAGTGGCCACTGCTGTCCTTCCTCTTCCTTTTCTATGGCACTTGAGGACAAACGTATGCCATCAGGTGCTGTAGAGCTGGATGCACCACTGCTGACGTTGCTTTACAGTAGGTGTGCAGAACAAGGTGGTTTTGTTTCAGCACTGATCTACTTTTCTCTCCACAAAGGTGGTGGAGGAGCTCTGGCCCAAGAATGTGTTTTCTTGTATCCAAATTGCACAGTCACTGTTTATGACCTGCCCAAAGTTGTACAAGTGGCCAAAGAGCGATTGGTTCCCTCAGAGGAGCGACGGATTGCCTTCCATGAAGGTAGGTGCAGACATCTCTGTGGGAAGGTGCTAGCAGTGGTGGGGCGATGTAGGCCTGCAGGGTTGTGGTGGGCAAGGGTTGCCTATGGCTGGTTGCTCACTGGGGAGATTGGTGACCAAAAGTGCCCTTGTTCAACACTGCCTTGAATTAGTCACTTATCCAGACAACGTGAAAGTACTGACAGCCAAAGTTGGTGTGCAGAGCATTGTGTGTTCCTCTTATCCAGTCCTCAAATAGCCTTTGTACCATCTGTGATGAAAATGTGTTTAGGGACATCTTGTGTTTAATGTCTTCAGAAATCTTTATTGAAAGGACTGAGTATTGCTCAAAGTTATGAGAAAAGAAAGAAGCTTTTGAAGAAGGGAAGAAATATGTTAAAGCAAAGATGAAGAAACAGGGGAAAGGCTGTATATGTACAGTGATGCAAAGAACTAGGAGTGCTGATGAGAAAGTAAGCTGTGAATAGAAAAATATGAATGCAGTAAATGCAGTACACCAGATGCTGAGTAAAAGGCATGACTGTGTAACTAGTGTTAGGAGGTGCAAACGTGTTTTCTCCTGATGGATTTATGGTGTAGCTCCATTTTACTGGGTTAGTCTGTTGAGGTCTGATGTGGGTCATAGGTCAAACCTAGAGTCCTTAGATTTTAAGAGAACAAAAGATACTTGCTGAACCTCCTCTTTGTTTCAGGAGTTTTGTGTGGAACACGTATTTTGCTTTACAGGAGATTTTTTTAAAGATTCAATCCCTGAAGCTGACCTCTACATTTTATCAAAGATACTGCATGATTGGGATGATGAAAAATGTGGGCAGCTGCTGGCAGAAGTTTATAAGGCCTGCAGACCTGGTAGGTGTGAGCTTTGGGGAAAAGAAAGGGAGACTCTCACCCATTAGTTATATGGATCACACAGCTTCAGCAACGGGATAGCCAAAAAGTGGGATGCTCCAATGCCTTTTCTCCCTTCTTGTCCTCTGTGATGAAAAAACAAGACTTAACTGAGAGGCTGCTGCTTATGGAAAGAACAGAATAGGATCTGGTCTAACAACTCAATTGAAAAATATCCCATCTTCGCAGGGTTTTCATAACACTCTTTGTTCAACCAGGTGGTGGAGTGCTACTGGTTGAATCACTCCTGAGAGGAGACAGAAGCGGACCTGTGGAAACCCAGCTGTATTCATTGAACATGTTGGTGCAGACAGAAGGAAAGGAACGAACAGCAGCTGAGTACAGCGAGCTCCTTGGGGCAGCTGGCTTCAGGGACGTCCGAGTCAGGAGAACTGGAAAGATCTATGATGCTGTTCTGGGGAGGAAATGATAGTGTCTTTTATTCTGTGTGACTAAGTACACGTGGACAAATGTGATATTCTTTTCGTAGAAGACTATTATAGATGTAGTTTTTATTGAAGGAAGTCAACTTCTCTGTTAGCTGATTATCAGGAGAATCATTAATAATACACTTTCGGTGTGTATAGGTTGTGAATTCAGCAGCCTGACTAGGGCTTGCCTTTGAATCTGAATAGCACAGAGAGAATTTGACATCTGTTCCACAGTAAATTACCCATGAAAGAAATGTGCAGTGTTGCTGCTAACCACTTTACATATTTTTCTTCTTTTTTATTTTTATTTTAAGTTTAACAGAGTACCTGACAAAAGCGAAGCTGAATTTTCATTTGTGGATTCCGGCATAATAAAACTGACCACTGTACTGAGCTGTGTTATATGCTTTTTTTTATTCCTTGGAACCAAAGTAGTATAAGACGACTATATTATATCCTTGTGGTTTATCTTGTCTGAGTTTCCAGAGAAAATCTCTTTGAGGTTTGGTGATTTTTAGCATGTAAAATGATTTATTTTTAAATTTCTTCTGGATTTGTGTTGAAGTTGAGAGAGAAAATTTTGTAGTCTAACTTGATGATTAGCTAAGCCTGGTGATGTTACTGAGGGAGTGGTGAGGTACTGAAGCAGATTGCTGTAGAGGTTGTATTTGCTTAGGTCCTGGAGGTATTCAAGGCTAGACTGGATGCTTCTCCATTTCTGTGTTTTGTTTTGTTTTTTTTTTTTAATTTTTTTTTTTTTTTTAACCTCCTGGACAGTAACCACATCATCAGATTCCCTGAATATTATTGCCATTATTTTTATCATCTTACTCACCCATTTCTTTCAGCATGGTTTTCAACAGTTCATTGTATTGTTTGATTTTGTGAGAAGCCCTGGGCAATCTGATCTAGTACTTAAGATAGCAAGTGGCAGCTCTGCCTGTGGCAGGAGGGGTGGGAGTGGTATAGGATCTTTATGATCCTTGAAGGCCTTTCCAACTCAAGCTATTCTGTTGCAGCTGGGAGGGAGAATGGTGCAGCCTTAGCGTTTAGCTGCATACTTGGTAAGTCTTCAAGAATTATCAGGAGACATTCAGTAAAATCATTTGGTCAAGCACTATCTGCAATAACTCACCCAGTTTTTGGAAGCAGAAATACAGACTGCTGGAGTGAGAATCATTTGGAAAAGGCAGGTCATTCTGTTGATGCAACATGAGCACTTGTTTGTTGCATATTTACCTGGAGACTGAGATGCTCTTCTTAGGAGCTCCTGAGAGATCTGCAGCAGGAAGGTGACTTTGCCAGGAGCTGCTGTCTGTGAGTAATTTGTTCTGAGTGCTGGCTGGCTAGACAGAGCGAGGTGCTGTGTCCTGCAGCAAGCAGGCACACATGCAAAGTAATCAAACGAGCAGCCAGTGGGCAGTGCGTGGGGCTGACTCAGGTCTTTGCTGATATCCCCATCCCCACCTTAAAACAGTTTAGAGAGATGTTTTTGCTTATTGGACCGCTTTGGTAAGGGTGGCAGTTTCATGCTATGGTGGTATCTGTGAATTAATTGCCTTTGTAAGTGAATGAATTAAGTGGCTAAGAATGAACCATCTACAGTTTTTTACCAAGGATAAATTAATGTTAATATTCTTGAATGAGGAGCACAGCAAAAATGGCCAATGATGTATGCTGAATCAGAAAGTCCAGCATATGCTTTCTTTCATATGCTTTTTTTTCCCAATAAAGTCCCTGTTCACATGCTCCCTGTTGCTCACATGGCTGCACCGTTAACAGCATCAGTAGATAGGACAATCATGGTTGATGTGCTGCTGCATGTAAAATGGTGCACCCTACAACTTTGAGTTAGAATTCCTCATGGCTGATGTCAATGGTAATCCTGCCTTTTACCTGAGGGGGTAAAAAAATGCACATGAGTATTGATAATGACAATGGCAGTATACTGAATTTGTTAAATGAAAATCTATATTCATCTTTAGAGATGTGGAGCTTTAAAACTACAAAGTAATGTAATTATAGGACTTGACGTTTCCTTTGAGCTATTTCTACTCAGTTTTGATTTTCCTACTCTGTTTCTGACCCCTGTCCTTTCCACCATGATTTGTTCAACTTCCTCTTTCTTCCGAGTCTCTCTTCTTGGGGCGGTGTGGCTGGAGGACTGCGTAGAGGAAATGGATCTGGGGGTATTGACTGATGCTCGGCTGAACATGAGCCAACAGTGTGCCCAGGTGGCTAAGAAGGCCAATGGCATCCTGGCTTGCATCAGAAACAGCGTTGCAAGCAGGAGCAGAGAGGTGATTGTTCCCCTGTATTCAGCACTGGTGAGGCCGCACCTCGAGTACTGTGTCCAGTTTTGGGCCCCTCACTGCAAGAAAGATATTGAGGCCCTGGAACGTGTTCGAAGGAGGGCAACAAAGCTGGTGAGGGGTCTGGAACACAGGCCATATGAGGAGAGGCTGAAGGAGCTGGGAATGTTCAGCCTGGAGAAGAGGAGGCTCAGGGGAGACCTCATTGCTCTCTATAACTTCCTGAAGGGAGGCTGTAGTGAGCTGGGGGTCGGCCTCTTCTCTCGTGTCATTAGTGATAGGACCAGGGGGAATGGCTTCAAGCTACGGCAGGGGAGATTCAGGCTGGACATGAGGAAGTATTACTTTTCGGAAAGGGTGGTCAGGCACTGGAATGGACTGCCCAGGGAGGTGGTGGAGTCACCGAGCCTGGGGGTGTTCAAGGAAAGACTGGATGTTGTGTTGAGGGACATGGTTTAGTAGGAGCTATTGGGAATAGGTGAACGGTTGGACTGGGTGATCTTTTAGGTCTTTTCCAACCTTGGTGATTCTATGATTCTATGATTCTGTGTGCTTTTGTCCTTTGTTCATCTACTCTTTGCTTCCAGAATCAAGAATAGAGAGTTGCCTTATTCATATTGAACAAATCAGTGCCACAGAAGGGCCCAGCTTAAGACCCGCCTTGACCAAAGCTATAGCTGGTCTCATCAGAGCCTCTTCCCTTCCCTTCCTTTTACTTTTTTCTCCTTTTACTAACAGACAGATTGTGAAGACAATCTTCTCCCCACATGAGGAAGAACGCATGCTCAGAAGGACCAAGTTGCTTCCTTTGCTCATGAGGGGATTGCTTTTGTGAGGAGCAGCCACTCTAGGCAGGGCTCCTGCTCATCTTGATGGCAGATACCAAAGAGAACTTTTCTTTGCAGGAATTTTTATATATAGCAACTACTTTGCTGTATACAGGCAAATAAAAACCCTGTTCTCTATGGCTTCCATGCTCCAGTAGGAATTTCTAGCAGCACCTTGTTATATTCAGATCTTGCGGCTGTTTTTTTGCTTGTTGTTGGATATTGTAATGTTGACAAAGATCATACAGGAACAAAGCAGTAAGGTGGAGTTTTCCAAGCAACAGCCTTTTGTCCTTTAGTTGATGGATACATAACACAAGCAGTTCCCAAATTCAAGGCTCTTTCATAGTACTACAGCAGGAGATTTTCTGTTTGATATGGATGGCTCTTGTCAACAGGGTTCTTTCCTCCTCTTATGGGGTTTCTAGCCATGTAGGCTGAGATGAATTTTTTTAGCTCCCAATATGACTTAGGAGTAAAGAATGAAACTTGGCCAAAACTGGGTAAAACAGCAAGAGCAAAACAAGGAGTGTCTTGAATGCATCAGGCAGGAAATGCAATTCCGAAGCTGAGATGGCTGTGGCCAGTAGGGCTGGGTGAGTTCTCCTGCCCCACGGTCACTCTGGTGGGACAGAAATGCCACACAACATCTCCCTCCTCCTGAGTAGGGCTGCTGCTCTTTTGGTTAGTGTTTAGACATGAGATGACAGTGAAAGGGTAGTCATGAAATACGATCAAAATTAAGAGATACGCGTATAACAATGTTAAACGCGGTGTTTTTGTTGTTTTAATTTATTTTATCTGCTGAAGTAGTCTTTCCTTTTTCTGTGGCAATAATTCAACTTGTAAGGTTTCACTAAGAGCAAATGAGATGGTTTCCTGACTGTATCAGGGAGGTATTACTTCATCTATAACAGTGGTGCCTAGTGGTTCAGTGCATGGAGCTTACAGAGCAAGCTTTTGGAGGCAGAGGAGCTGCAGGGGTGGCTTCTGTGAGCAGAGTCCAGCATTGCCCCATGTCAGAGCAGAGCAGCTGCAAATGAACCCACTGCTGCCAGAGCTGCACCGTGAGCAATGCTGGGTGTGCAATGGGAGAGTGGATTTAAGGAAGGGAACACCGCTGTGCTATAGCAGCTGGGAAAGAGGGGTGAGAGGTGGGAGAGAAGTGGCCCTGCAGGCACAGAGGTCAATGAGAGTGGAAACTTGTGAGCCATCTTCCTGCCCTTATCTCAATACACGATCTTTGTAAATCATGTTTTTTCCCCATTAAAGAAGGACAAAAAAGAGAGCAGTGTGATGAAGCTCAGTTGCCCATTGGTGTTCAATTGCACTTCTGTTAACTTTGCAAGGTTCTGCTTCTGATCTACAGTGGTTGGTATCAGTACATTTTGAGAAACTGCAGTGTGAAAAAAGCTTGATAGATGTCTCTTGCTGCTTATTATCCCACACCTAAATTCCACATCATAACAAAGACCCTGAAAGCATTAAGTTGATTGAAGACAGATGCCCCTGGTTCGTAAAGGATTTGCTGGTAGCCAAGGGTCTTTGGGAAGCACGGCTGGGTCTGTCCACCAGGTGTCCTGGGCTGCTCATGCTGCTAGAAGCACGTGTGTGTTTTTCTCTATAGATAATGTACATTTACGCACTCTAATTTCACCCTTCAAAAAACACCTTATTGTAAATCATCCATGTTTGGAACAATCTCTCAGCGATTATCAATGATGTGGTAAAAGCTTCCATACAGTAATATGAAATGGTAGAGGTTTTAGGAGAGCAACAAGATGAATTATTTCTATGCATTAAAGGCCTATGAACGTCAAACTTTATACAAAAAGAAAGGTGCTGACTGGAATGCTATCTCTTTCATGTCACATGCTGATATGCAGATTTTATTATTTCCAAGAAAAAGAGGCTGTTCCATTAAGGATGAAATATCCTCTGTGATAACCTGTAAATGGGAAGATCGTGTGCCATAAAGCATACCTTAACAGCATTGTGGCTGAGAAAACCATAGCATTTGTTCTCTAGTGGGTGTTTTAAAATAACAATTGATAAAATAATGCTCTTGAGAAGACAGGAAATACCAGCTGGTGGAAACAGCTGGTTCCCCAGCTATAAGCATATATAATAAGCAAAACACTGTGTAAGCCAGTTTGTTAGAGAAGTTCATTTGTTATTATAGAGCAAATTGATTAGTTTTAAAAGCGTGTGATCACAGTGTTTCTGTTTTAGAAAAAATTCTGCAGCTACCCGTG